TGCAATATGCGTTTTTGCTGCCTGTTGCAGCGCTCTAGCGCTGCACGGCAAAAACGCATAAATAGAGCTGGGAAAAGATCGAGAATTAGAACGCAGGATTGATGAAAAGAATATTAGGAAACAATCTGTTACGATAATGGGCCGAAAAAAAGATAAACGTAGGACTAACAACATAAGGCGGGAATAAGCTGGAAAACGAACAGGAAAGAAAGAGGGAGGAAGTGTCGCGGGAAACCTACGAAAAGCCGGCCAAGAAGCCGCCACAAAGAAAAAAAGAAAGATGTCTTGCCTTGAAAGAAAGACACACAGCAAATGTGCCGCCGGGCTGAAACTGGACCACAAGGACCGGTAGTTTTATATAGACCGCTTCGCGCCATTACACGCACCACCTAAAAAGGGGGAGAGGGTGATGATGTTGTCCAGTGTATACTGATGTTCCTGTAATGTATATCACGCATCACAATCCCCTAATCTCGGATTCCCGAGTGGATGCCATGGGAACTAGAGATACATTATTGCGTCGTAGATTCAGTCTATGAAGATAAAGTAGGCGGGGGGAAGGGTGGCTTGGAAACGGAGAGTCGGATCTCTGTCGGAGGCTCGATCTTTGATGGGAACGTCGCTTCCCAACATCCGCGAGGAATGTCATCGAAAGATGGTTCAGCATTTTATGTTAATATTTTGGCCGATCGGGCGAAGCCTTCGCATTTGTATTATCGTATTGTAAATCATCAACAAGGATGACAGACAAGAGATGGCACCAACGAAATTTTGAAAGAACTGAAAGGTTATCGGCGAGTTGAACTGATCGGCTGTGCCTGTTGCTGAGCGCCTATGATCAAAGTCAGTGGCAGTGGTCTCCGGCTAAACCATTGCAGAAAGTTCTGAATACAAATCAGTGGTGAATTTGCAGCCGTTTCAAAACTGTATCAGGCAGGCACTGTAAATCAGTATATCGATTTTGCATCTTTTTTGATTGTATACACATTATTTGTCTGTTTTACCCAAACGCTTGTTTGATTTGTTTGATGAATAAACATAATACAAAGACGGTGAATACATCTCCTACATGATGAATACATCTCGAAAAAGCACATATTTCAAGTTATTATATTCCCTTCTGAAAGCCGAAACCGGGCGGTTTTGGTGGTGTCGTAAGCGTCGTTGGACCAGTGATTGGTTCCGATGCCAGTCGACCACTTCGTGGGCCAGGTTTTGGTCGTTTGCCCGCTTTGAATTCATCCAGTATATCGCAGATATCTTTCGGCGTTAAATCTTCGTAATAATCATCATTTATCTGAAAATTTAGCGTGAAAAAATTAAGCTAATGATTCTAAGTGTTTTGAAATTTTTTAAAAAAAATGTAAGCTATGAAGGTTTGTTTGGCACTAAAGGCCTCGATGAGAGGGACACAGTCGAATATTGTCAGTTGTGGGAAAGCAAGAAGTGCTAATTTAGCCACCCAGATAAGCGAGCCTGTATGTGCTTTAGCTGTTGCCCTGTCTGTGTTTCATCCCTAAACTGTGAACATCGACGGCAGACCCAGTGCGAAAACTTGTGAAATGCAAAGAATGCTCAAATAGTTTTATCGTTGCTTTTTGTCAAAAGTCAAAACCCTCTCTGTGCGAAGCAGATTAATGTGCTAGTTGCTGATTACTTATATATTGATTGCTATGGATGCAAAACATGCCTGAACCATCGGAGCATTCACACATGCGCCCAGACATTCCACTTCGGCTAACGTAAATAAGCCGTCTTTTGTCGTCTCGCCAACTTTGATGCCTAAGAGAAACGGAATATACAAACAGTGCATTCAAATCAACATTATTATCATCATCTAATATCGCAACTGTTATTATGATTAACATCAACAAGAATAACGAATTCGCTCTGAATAATAATAATAAAAACCATAATAATAATAATAATAATAATAATAATAATAATAATAATTTACAATTAATAATAATAATAACGAACAATAACGGCATTAAAAATAATAACAATAACAAAAAAATTTCACGCCTTTTTAAAAATAGGTAAATTTTGCAAAAGTGTACAAAAATTTCGCAAAAAAAGCTCCAATTTTTTGAATTTTCAAATTTGAAATTTTCAAGTTCCTAAACCTGCTCGAAAATTCCAATATTTTTTGATTTTCATATAACCACTCATGCGAGGAGGCGTAACCAGACACACACAACTCATCTCTACTCACTATTTCATCATTCACCGTTTGAAAGAAGATAAATTTAACAGCAAACCGAGCTTTTTGCTGATCGTTTCGATGATCGATTCGGCACCACGAAGCATACACGGTGTTGTGCCGCAAACCTGTACAAAATATTTGCCCACCGGTTGACGATTGAACATCGAATAGAATGTGGCCACTTCATATACACGCATACGTGCAACACCTAGAATTACTGGCAACTGTTCTTCTAGAGTAATCTCGCTGAGAAATCGCGTACTCTTTTGATTAACACAAAAATAATCAATTAAAATAGTTTATGGAAGGTTCTCCTTAACTGCAGCTGCAGCAGCATATTTAAGGAGACACGATATTTATTTTTGTTCATTGTAGCAATATACCTGTAGCGCTAAATAGAAGTTCATACGACTTAACGGACTGAAATAAATTTTAATTTTTAATATATACATATCTTCTTCATGTTTTTCCAATAAATTTTTAATTTTTATATATATATAAATTTTCTTAAATATAAATACATACTCTTTAATATATGTATATATATATATACATATATATATGTACATA